ATCAAGATCACCCGGATGGCGTAACAAATCATATTTCTAATTGGATTCGAAGGTTGACGCGCGACTTCCATCTGTTCTCCATCTGTTCTCCATCAGTAGAATGTCATGCATGTGCGTAATGAGTACCATAAGTCAAGTTCTCGGGGTTCATATAGAAACTCCAGTCTCCTCGGATGCATTAACCTAGTAACTTAACTATAAGGTAGATACCTATGAAATATAAAACCCAGAACCTTCTTTGCTTTAACTAGGTACTATAAAGTTGGAGAGAATTAAAAGATATTGCCGTGAATATCCAACATATCCAACCTTCAACCCCGCTTAGTGAACCAACCACTTAAACAGCCACTATCTAAGACATCACGACTAATAAACTTGAGACTCACGAAAATGGCTCCCAAGATCTTCCTGTAAGTAAAGGGCTAACGAAGACTTAGGCAGAAACAGAATAACTTGGAGTGCCTATAAGCTAATACATCTAATAGCACCGGTGCGACTGGTATGAACTTGACAGCCCAGCTATAAACAATATTTCATCGGGTCGATATGAATACTGAATGCTCTTAACAAATAGGCTACATTGGTGGTGATGTCCTCTACCAGCTGAACAAAGTCCACCCGGATTATGAGTATACACTACTTGTACGAAACGAGGAGCGAGCCAAGCCCGTCGCCGCTGCTTACCCCAAGGCCCGTATCGTCTACGGCACTCTAGACGACGCCGAGGTGATCGAGAAGGAGGCTGCCGCAGCAGATATCGTCGTCCGTACGTTACTATTCCAATCCAAGACTCAAAAGAGAAGAGCAAATAACTTAACGCCATCCAGACACTGCCGAATCGGCCGACAATGTTCCTTCTGCAAAAGCCATTGCTAAGGGTCTCGCGGCGGGCCACACAGCCGAGAAGCCCGGCTACTGGATCCATCTCTGCGGAACCGGCATCCTAACTTGGTACGACGTAGACAACAAGCGCTATGGCCAACCGCCGCTGCCGGAGCAGAAATACCACGACATCGACGACATCGACCGCATCCTCTCAATCCCTGACACCGCGCTCCACAGGGACGTCGACAAGATCGTGCTGGCAGCAAACGACTCCCCCGGGGTCAAGACCCTAATCGTCGGACCACCCACCATCTACGGCCAGGGCCGCGGTCCTGTCAACCAGCGCAGCATCCAAGTACCCATGCTCATCGAGTACACGCTAAAGAACGGTTATGCACCAATCCACCCCCCCGGTCTAACCGAGTGGAACAACCTGCACATCTACGACGTGAGCGACTTCTTCGTGCAGGCCGTAGAAGCTACGCAGGACCCTTCTAAGGCCAACAATCCCGAGATCTTCGGTCCCAAGGGGTACTTCTTCCTCGAGAACGGCGTGCACAAGTGGAGCGACGTAGCTAGGTGGGTCGCCGAAGAGGCCGCGAAGCAGGGTCTTATTCCCGAGCCCGCTACGAAGGAGGTCGACTTCCCCTTCTTCGGGGCCAATTCCAAGGCTGTCGCCGCTAGGGCGAGGAAGTATTTCGGCTGGACGCCTAAGGGTCCGTCCCTGAAGGATGATATCCCGTCAAGTGTGGCTCTTGAGGCGAAGAGGTTGGGCAAGGCTTGATTAAGTTGATCTGGAAGAGATATTACCCGATGCCGATTCTCTATAAAATTTGTTAGCAGAGAATTCCACGGTAATCTCGTAGTAATAGCAGGCGACACTGATGTAACTTAATACAATGCTCCAATTTCTTAATTAACGACTAAATATAGTGATCCAACCTGTTTCCACCTTGTACGTTCCATTCATTATCATAACGGTCATATGCCCAAATACATCAAAGATAGACATCCCTGTAAAACATTTCATATACTCACGAGCCTGTAATCAGGGATGTTCAATATCGAAGTACACCTTGACTTCGACCTCGTTGCTCCAACCAGCTGTTAGGCCCATCTCATTCCACGCCGTTTCAATATCAATTTCCAATACATGGCTGTCGGTCTTATTAACAGTAACAGTGTGAGGCGGAATTGGTTGTCCTTGAATAGTAACCATGAAATCCCGTTCGATCGACATGTCAGGGAGACTTGAGATATACACCCCTTCGACTAGTTAGTATAACAATTGAGTCACTAGCAGTAACAGGGACTTACCAAGAATCCCCAAGGCTTTGAGCCGTGTATCCAAGAGTACCCTACCGGTATGCAGGAGCTCAGACTCGTTTGTGGTGATAGCGGCAGCGCCCGTCATCTTCCCGATGAGGCCTAGATTTGCGACGTATATCCTACCGTTCGTCTCGCTGTCAAACCGTGTTATGGGGAAGGCGGTAAAAATTTCGTAGTCCCGGACATCTAACGATACCGCGAGGATAGCAGCAGCAGAGCCGGGTTCTACGACGGATGTTACGAGACCGCTGTGGTGGGCACGCACGACGTATAAATTCGACGCGGACACACCCGGGAAACGCGAGAGAGGGATGAGCTCCCCCACCGCCCGTCGCGATATGTTGAAGACGCCTAGTAACGGTGTCCCAGTTACAGCTCGGCCGTGGTAACTGCCAATTTTGAGGATTGCAGGCTCATCGTAACTAGTATACGCGTCGATGCTTCTACCTACTACGCTGGGTCTGAAAATAACGGTCTTACCTCGAGGCGTTGGTCCTGTCATCTCAGCAATGAGATCGATATTGTGTCTTCCAGGGGTATCGGTTATATAGATCGGCCCACCACTGAGACACCGCGCAGCAGCGTGGAAACCAGCAAACTCATGATCGGTCTGAAACATATCCCAATCTGGTAAGATGTTTAGATGCTGGGTAAGCAAGGCGTTGTGGGCGTTCGCGAAGAGATGCCACGGATGTGACTCTGGGATATCGGGATAAAAGTCGTCAGAGTTACGCGCGAGCATAGCTGGTCTGTTTTGCGGCAGTTGCTGAAGGAATAAGAGTTGCGGCGCTTGCGACATACACGATATGGCTTTAATGCTGAAATACCTCAAGGCCGATATTATCCAGCTATCAAGGTACGCCTCGGTAAGTTCTCGACGGTGTTTAGCTGAGACCCAGGTGTCTATCATGTACTGCACATCCGTTTTGACACCATCGATCCCACAGTCTGATAAGAAGCGATAAAAGTCGTTATAAAATTTCCCAACATCTTCTTTTGCGATAACAGTCATAGGACCGTTGAGGTTAGAATCAGCGCGATCAATTTGTACTGTCTTATAAGTCTGGGCGAGGTCACCAGTGCTTGAAATCCCTCCCCAGTAACCAAGCAAAGCATGCCAGACGGCGACGTGTTGGATACTTGGATGCTTTGAGCGGATGAGAGATACTGTGTCTTTGAGTCCATTCGGGAATGCGTTTGGTTCAGCTTCGAAACCCTTCCAACCATGTTGGTATTGATCCTGGCCCTGGTAATCAATATCTTGCCAGTTATCATCTATGATGAGACTGCTGATATTGATGTGGTCCTTTGCTAGTGCTCCAACGGCACGTATTATTTTCTCGTCTGTTAGATGTTGACCCAGAGCATTCCAGGTACCTATTCAAACAGCAGGGCTAAGTTAGACTCATCGAGAAAATTCAGGTGGGCAGATTGCTTACAATAACCCAATCCATCATACCAATTTTCGTACCATTCAGGCTTGATGTCATTAGTCAAACTCTGGATTTCCTTAGTAAACTCATCCCTGCTATTACCCGTGGCGGCCATAACGGCTCGAGCGTGGTACATGACGGCTGCTACCGCACTCTCGAAATCATCGCCAACAGAAGCCAAAACTAGACCGGTTGATTGAGCTTCGTTGTCGCTGCGTATCTACGAATCAAGCATGAGATGACTATCGTGGAACGAATTGGTTTGTGGGTTTGAGCTCTTACTTACATGTAATCTTACAGAACCTGTATCCGAGCTGCGGAAGAGCGTGGCTACGTTGCCAACTCCACTAACTCCTAGTAGGACAAGATGCTTTCCTTGATGACTTAGAAAAGAGCACATCACGGCATCCTTGTCCAATTTGAATGACTTCCTGCCATGCCTAGGACCTAACCACGGCGACCCATGGCGAACTAGAGCGAAATACCTACAACTCGGTCAGTTCCGCAATAATAATTAACGTCTATACTAGTTTGAAAAAAACAAACATCCTGACTTACCGCAGAGCACCACCCCACGGAGTCCCGAGCTCCACATCGGCATATGCAGAACGATCATCGCCGGCCGGATTCACACTCGCGCTTACAGTCCAGATTTGGGTATTGGGGGTTTGACTCTTCGCACCCGTGACCGTTAGCTCCGGGTTAAGCCCATGAATTATTTTAGAGAGATTCGTGTCCATTCCATTATTTGGGGATGTTGGGCTAATCAAAACGATCCCATCGTATATCCCTGAGACTTTGCGAGACCACCTCCAAGGCTGATTACGGCCATTGCGGAACTTCAAAGTAAATTTTAGGGATGATGATACAATAAACGGCGCTCCAAAGTACAGGCGAACATGCGAATTTCTAACAATTTGAAGTGCGGAGGGAGAATCGTTGACGGAAATGGGCGATAACGGCTTCTCCGTCCAGTCGGCACCGGAAGAAGAGTACCAGACGGCAACCTCCCAAGGATCTTCTGTACAGCTACTGTCTACTTCTAACAGAGCAAGAAGTTGGAACGAGTTGTCTTTGAACTGAGTGACCTGTCCAAGAGGTGGATAGCTTGATATGGTTGGTTCCATCCCGACGGCGGGAGCGTCCGGTCCAGAGACACGGACGGCGTGGAACTCGGAGTCGATATCACGTTCACCTTTAGACATAATTACAAGTGAAATAACTATTTCATTTTATTAAACAACGTAAGGGGAATGGTACGGATTATTATAAGCAGGATCAAGTAGGTAATTATTCAAATAAAACAGCGGTATTAGGAATTAAGAATCGAATAAAACATTCTTATGGTTTAAGGACAACTCGGCCAAGTTGCAACATTAAATTGTGGAAACTCTTAAGTTCTTGGGAAAGTCTTGAAAGTTCAACAGATGAGCCCAAGACCCATAAACGACCCATAAAAGCTACTTGGCCAATCAAGAGTTGATTATTTCTCGTCACAGTTACTTAGCCACAGATCGTTGACGCTAACCGGAATTTAGCGGGAAGAAAGTTAAAATTTTGAGGCTTGCGTCTGTGAATCCCACAAGCCGCCCCAATGCACCTTTGACTTGACGCCTCAGGCCAAACCCAAAATTTGAGCTTTCGATTACCGAAACCGAACCGTTCGTCCAAGATTTACATCAAACCGCTCACTCCCCGTAATTCCACCCTCCCGCACGCAACACCCTAATGGCGTCCAGGAGACTCGCTTTCAACCTCGCGCAGGGCATGCGCAGCCGTGCCGCGAATTCTGCCATACGACCATTACGAAGAGGTTTTGCAACTCCGGTGACGTCTCCCGTTGGCGCGAAGACCCAGACCACAACATTGAAAAATGGTCTGACGGTAAGCTACCCCCAGCGGCCAATTGGGCTAGTCAATGCTTCTTAAACTTGTATCTGACGGTAAACCGAAAGATCGCGACCGAATACTCCCCTTGGGCGCAGACTTCGACGGTGGGAGTATGGATCGATGCCGGTTCGAGGGCCGAGACGGACGAGACAAATGGAACCGCACATTTCCTAGAACATCTCGCCTTCAAGGTATTTACGGGCGTATACCTCGGCAAAATTACGCATTACTTATAGCTTCCATAGGGTACCCAGAAGAGAACTCAGCAACAACTAGAGCTCGAGATTGAGAATATGGGTGGTCATCTTAACGCTTATACCTCGGTGCGTTAAATATAGCCGGCAACATTATTACTCCCGACTGACATATGAATAGCGTGAGAACACCGTCTACTTCTCCAGAGCATTCAACTCCGATGTTCCTCAGTGCGTCGACATCCTCGCCGATATCCTCCAGAATTCTAAACTTGAGCCCTCCGCCATCGAGCGAGAACGTGATGTCATTCTCCGTGAATCAGAGGAAGTTGAGAAGCAGCTCGACGAAGTTGTCTTCGATCACCTCCACGCCACTGCCTACGCTCACCAGCCTCTCGGCCGCACTATCCTTGGACCTCGAGAGAACATCCGTGATATTACCCGAACCGAGTTAACCAACTACATTAAGACCAACTATACTGCTGACCGTATGGTTCTCGTCGGTGCTGGTGGTATTCCTCACGATAAGCTCGTCGAGCTAGCCGAGAAGAACTTCTCTAGCCTTCCTACTTCTTCGCCTCACACCGAAGCCTACCTCCTCTCCAAGCGAAAGCCTAACTTCATTGGTTCCGAGGTTCGAATCCGAGACGATACCATCCCATCCGCCCACATCGCTCTTGCTGTTGAGGGTGTGAGCTGGAACGACGACGACTACTTCACTGCTCTAGTTACTCAGGCCATCATCGGCAACTATGACAAGGCCATGGGCAGCGCACCTCACCAAGGCAACAAGTTGAGCACCTTCGTTCACCACAATGACCTAGCCAACAGCTTCATGAGCTTCTCCACGAGCTATAGCGACACGGGGTAAGCTCTCCGGTATTCTACATTTCTTGTATCTTGTACTAATCAGTTCCAGTCTATGGGGTATCTACCTAGTGACCGACCAGCTCACCCGTATTGACGACCTGGTTCACTTCACTCTTCGGGAATGGTCCCGCCTTTCTAGCAACGTCACTGAGTCCGAGGTCGAGCGAGCAAAGGCTCAACTGAAGGCCTCAATTCTCCTTTCCCTCGACAGCACATCCGCCGTTGCGGAAGACGTCGGCCGACAACTCGTCACAACCGGCCGCCGCCAGAGCCCTGGTGAGATCGAGCGTGTCATCGATCACATCACGGAGAAGGACGTAATGGACTTCGCCCGGAGGAAATTATGGGACCAAGACGTGGCCATCAGCGCCGTCGGCAGTATCGAGGGCCTTCTCGACTACCAGAGAATCAGGAACGACATGAGCCGAAACTTTTAGGCGGACAGTGATTGGGGACAGCGGCTTGAAGGGGGGGACTCGGTCATAGAGTGTATCAGATAATCACGCACTTATTGTACCATACCATAAAGATTTCTCATCTGTTAGATTCCCTCGACCGGCCCAGAAGATATTTTGTTTGTGTTACCTTTTCTGCATCGGTCCCTATAATGCATGGGTTAGGTACCCAGGACTGGTGTCATTGAGTTTAATGTGATATGTTAACGATCAAGTTAGCTCGCTTAAATAGCGAATACAAAGGCTCTTCAGAGTCGAATCACTAACTTTAAATAGAGGAGCATCTGTGAAAATTCTACTAAATTGATTCGTTGTCTAGCCGTCTACCAGATCGGGAATTTCAGAGTTCTGTACGATGGATGCTATATGTCCGAGATTTATATACTCTTTCCACAGGAGTATGAGATACAGGTCGCTATAGAATACGTAGCCCACTATCCCAACGTCCTATGCCAGGGAACATCGAGCCGGTACTATTTACCTCGATCAATGGAGTCACTCGTGCTTTCGACTGCCACGTATGAGTCAATACCCCTTAATCCATTGAGACTCCCTATTATACCGCCCATCGCTACCTAGGTATAGGTAGCTTTTCAGCATCGCCAACTATAAATGGCTAAACTGTCTAGTCAAAGCACGTCTGTACCAGATATTCCCTGTGGCCGTCCTCGTATCGAAGCATCATTCCGATGACTTATAGACGGCCTGCAATACTAGGTTTACAAGTGATCTTCGGTCACTCAAAGAGAAACTCATACAACTCAGTACTATTTTCAAAGGGAAATATATTAACGATAATCAATTAGCCCTTCTCTAGGCTAAACTATCAGCCCTTTTCAACACAGATAGAACGAGGATGGGATATTACGCCAATGAGTGGCATCATTGAAGCGCCGAATGAGACATATTGATGTCTTTGTAACTTATCTCAGGCTTAAACCGATACCGTACGAGAGATGAGAGGCGTGGGTTCCCAGTTAGTCATTTGCTCAAGAATCCCCTGATGTTCCCAGGTGTAAGACACCTTCAGGAACAGGTAATTCCTAGATTTTTATAGGATATAATCTCTCCTTGTCTTTGAGCAATATGACAGCTAAATCTGGGTCAGGGATGATTATGCTCAAAGTTTCTGCTTACTTATCTTAATGGAGGATGATACAAGGATGAGTTGTCACATGGTTTAGACAATAAAAGAACCTATTTTATGTTTGGGGAAAGGTCTGTCATAGTTTAGCTTCAATTTTGGCACTGAAGCTTAAAGAATCAATGCCATAAGGAAGGATGTGAATGGATGCTTTAAAACATACCTCCTAATCTACCTTTTAAGTAGCTAGGAGGTAGTTATCAAAGTGAATATAATAGGTATAGGAAAGAATAGTAGGTGGACGTTGACGAAATGAATAAGTCTAGGTAGCTCAGATTCTATCAAGTGGCAATATTTGACTCTAAATGCTAGGAAAGAGTCTCTAGGTATTCCCGTTAAATAGAAGATCACATTTCCTAGTAAACGGAATCTTAAAGGGGTGGATATAACAGCAGCCGTCAATATTGGAGCAAGACGAAAGGGCATTTTAACGTGATGATCCCTGGAATATATGGTGTGATCTATTGTTGGTGGTTGTAGATTAATATAATTAACGATACATTGCCAATGCTGCTGGCCAAGACTTCACTTAATGAGGCAGAATTCTCCCAATAGATATATTAGTTCCATAGCCGTGGATCCTCACTCTCGCTCGTACTCCGCTTTTCAAGTTTGGTAATCCCACCGCGTCGATCTATCATATCCTGGTGAAAAAGCTCTTGGCTCGCTTCACATAGAGGAGGGGAGGCTCAGCTTCTCCAACTTGGACCTCTTCACTTTGAGGGGTCCCATGGCCACACTGTAGCCAATACGCTCTCGAAACTGGCCAGGAATAAAAACTTTATACTGGAACATTTACCGAGACAAATTTAACTCCGTACACCTAGGCAGTAAAAGCTACCTAGTATTCAAGACAAGTACCTACGTGACAAAATATTCATTCAGAAACTTTAGCTAGAATTTGACGTGATGTAAGACCATATTGATCTTTTATATTAGAATATATCGCACGGTAATAGAAGTATTATTTGCATTGTAGTGTTGACCCGATAACATCACCAATAACAGCATACAATGAATCCATATATACAAACATAAGAGGAATTCCCTTCGGGGTTAACCTGCACCAGCTAGATAGCTCGCGTTAATAACCGTGATTCATACCCGTCGTAGTTTTAAGTCCTTAAGCCTTCACGAACTGACCAGATAGGTAGTAATATTCGGCATCCATCTCCTCCTGTACCTGTCTCCAAAGCCCCTTCTGCAGCGTGCCGGAAAGCCAGTAATTGCCGGCGGCATCCTTCCCAACGATGGGAAACGAGTTGCGCGTGGGCATGCCGTTGACAAGACCGTTGGGCTGGATGTACGACGGACGTCCGATCTTGTTGGCCCGCTTTTCCGGGTCCGCGCCGGGACGCACTACCGCGGCCGAGAAGTCCGTATCGAAAAACTTGGCCTTATTCCAGTTGGAAATCATCATGGGCACCATCGCGGGGTCGCCGTACAAGGCCGTTTTGCCCCTCTTCCCGGCCGCAAGGTCAACAGCGGCGCGTGCTTCCACCTGCGCTCGTGTCCCTTGTTCGGCAATGGATCGGCGCACTGCAGCTGCGACGTAGCCCAAGGGCCTTGCGAATAGGTCTCGCATCGACACGAACGCCCAAACGCCAGCAACAGCGTTGCCGACGTAAGCATGTGTCTGCGGAAGAAGGTCCTTAGCGAGTACCGAGCGCATGCCGAAGGCGTTCATGATGGACACCGTCTGTTCTGTGTGCTGGAGGTGTCGGAGGGCGAGGCGCGTGACCCAGCCCGAAAGCACGTCGCCTTCGCTGACGAACGGTTTCACCTTCTCGTCCTCGTCGGTCTGCGAGGCGAGGTAATCGAGTGCTTCCTTATGCAGGGACTGTACGTGGGCAGCTGGTACACAGACCATCCGCGTGTCCTCGCCGCGCGACCAAAATAAGGTTGTCCAGATATAGGATATGGCGAAAATTAAGGCTTGGATCGGGGCCAGGCGGCGGTGAGCCAAAACGTACGGTTCTTGCGGATCTGTTCCTAGCGATTCGAGCGGGTCTTGCAACACGCCGTAGAGCGGCTTCACGTCGTCATCCCTACCCTCAAGCACGGCTATCCAAGCATCTAGAAGCTCCCTTCGTCCCATCGCATCGAGTAGCGTGTGTGGCCACGATAGCGAGACGATCGTCGCGTCGGTAAAGGACACAATGTGTAAGCTTAGCTGCGGTGCGTCAGTGTACAAGTAGTCGCCGAGTCGTCGAGGAGCACCCCATCGGCGCAACAAAGGCGCAAACTCCTCCGGGTCACTCAGGACGGCAGGTTTCGCGGTAGCCCTAGGTAGACGAGAGCCGGTTGGGTGCCTGGCAATCTCAACATTGTGTTCTATGTGCGAATATGCGAATGCCGGTCTTTTCTCGCTAAAGGAAGTTGGAATGTGATATTCAAGTTTACCATCACCCTGTAAGTATATTTTTTAGTTATTGGAATCTGTTCTAGGAAGTTGAAGACCCTATGCTTAGACGACATAGTAAGAATAGCGAGCATACGGTGAGTCTCAGCCTTGCACCTAGCTTACGCCAGTCACTCCGGCTAAGAAGCTTCTCTAGCGATAGACGTAGCTTATCGGCATCCAACACGTCATCAAATCGCATGGTGAACTCGACAATAACCTTTCTGTTGATCGGTGTATCGTCGAACCGGTGTAGCGGGACGACTGTGTCTGACGATATTGTCAACGGCGACTTGATGGCCGGTTTGCTGGAAAGTATGTTCCCCATGTTGTGCGAGTGGCGCTACAGCACCAGGCTGTACTGAACACCGAAGGTCTAGACAAGAAGTATGTTATGTGCTTCTAAGTTACAGTCCCTACAACCCGGGTCGTCCACGGAGTAATAAATGGCAGGACAAATCTGGCCATTATAGATAGTCTACCGCAGCTGACAAGCTACCCGACGCTTCGGGGAAATTTCCGTGCAAATCAACTGCCTAGCGACCAGCTCAGTTGATATCCGAGATACAGGCTAGTTATTCCCTGACGATCTCTGTCATGTTTGGGTGTCGGGTCCACAGGAATATATAACATCGTCAATAGCAACGTAACATGTTTATATCTCGTGCTGCATGCACGGGAAGGAGTCGATAGGGGGATATCATTTCGAGATGCTCATTGGCCCAACCGCCGACCTTCCCCTTTCTGTGTGTCGATATCTTGGAAACACTTCGTATAGACGAAATATCACGGGCAAGGGTAACGATACGGATTGCGTAAGTATTTCTTGGCAGAGACGACTATGTATGTATATACGTATTCTTCACGTAGCTTGATGCAACGCGGCGCCCAGGTCCACGGTATGAAAGGTACCCGAGACAGGGGAAAAAGTGGCTAATAACACTATAAAATAATCTGGATGATTATCAGCACTTTTGCTAGCAGAACACCGGAGAAGGTCAGCTTTATGGCCAGAGGGAGAAAGCTAGCTCGCGATGTTTCTATGTCGAATGATAAATCATAGGTCCTAGGGTCTACCGATCGCACATGCTTTAATATGCTCGACGGAAACATCCGTAAGCGTTATTGGTCGACGAGCCAATGGTCGTGGGGGGCTCCCTCATATTGTACGAGGGTATAAATGCATGTACAATCTATGTAACGCACAATCCCTTCATCTGGTAGGTGGGACAGGGATCTTCACGGCACTTGAGTCGTGGTTTTAACGTTATCACGACGATCATTTTTATTAACTGAGGTGACATTTCATTACAGAGGATCACTATTTACCGGGTAAGCAGATAAGCGAAACATATTAATGTTTTCGTGCCTAGATTTATCTTAGGCGCCTCTTAGACTCTTCCTTGTAGTACTCAGTTTAGACGCTGGTGGATTTTTACTTCGTAGGGGTCTCTTTTTGACTTATACCTAGGTTGATAGCTCTAAAAGATCGGAGTGACAAAATCTCACGAGGCCGGATAGCTGCGTCTGAAAAAAGGATTTCACGGAGCTACCCCCCGAAGTCCCCGGAGCTCATTAGCCGGAGCTGTAAAAGCGGGTTCCCGCGGGTTTCGACATCGTCTAGCATGATTGCGTCAACCTCGTTAAGCATCTAACGGTGGTGGGCTTCTCCTACCATTTGACAATATAACATACGTAGACCAAGAAAGCTTGTCTGCGGTTGGATATGACCCAAGCACAAGCTTCATTAATTAAAATAAAACGATGATGTAGCTCCTTGCGTGGTTTAGCCTCGTCCGAACCACCTAGCGATTCCCATGTGAAGTAAAAGATCGGTATTACGGAACTTGGCCTCCGGATAGTTTAGTATTCTCCTTGTTGTCATTCAATTATAATACATACAAGACCGAAGTAGGTCGACGAAAACGTCGAAACGCCACAGATAGGCTTCGCACGGGCGGAACGGCTGCATTTTATGCATCCACCCGATGCCCATGCACAGACCATATTCTGAGAGATTACTTGAAATCTATGTAGTACCACGTTGTTGTAAACTGGACGACGCGTTCGTGACCCCGGCCCAAATAATGCCTTATCCGGTGACTACTAAATATTGGCTATTTCAGGTTTAGGAGCACGTGAATGACCAGCTCACACGCATATATAGTAGGTACCTTATAACATGAGACGGACGGGTTATGTTTAATTTGAAATCATCTTTTTTTCTCCTCTTCATCAATCCGTGTCATCCCCCACTCGGCAGAGTCATCTCCGGTTTCTCATAGTTAATAACTAAGCTAAACAGCTTACGTAGGTAGTATATCATATCTATTTCAACCATTCTCTATGAGTACAGCTAAACTTGTTTTACTATGTCGGGCTCAACGTCATTATGTTTCCTCTAAAGCTTGTCATGATATATGATGATGTCGCTTTCGATATTATACACGTATCAAATTTGAAAGTGTTGGAGCATAATCTCAAAGACAACCTAGGGTTATGCTATGCGCCATGGCATTGTTGGTTCTAAGTCTTTAGTACGTGAAGTAAGAGCGCATTGAATTACCAAGGTCTGTTAATGTTGAATCTTACTGTCAGAGATCACCCTTGGTATGTTACACCACCCACAGAGTGACAGGTAACTAGCTGGTATATAGCCCAAGCATGTAGTATATTGAAAGATACCTTAACGCCTACCTCTATATAAATCAGAGGGCACTTCATATTCCATAGCTAGCAGGTAGATAGTAAGGTGTAGTCTAAACTGACACTTACTCGCTGTCGCTTACAGCGTACTAAATAGCCCTCTCTCTATGACAACACTAATAGAATCAATCCTTGGCGTAGTTATAATATTACGAAAGAGTATATTGCTACTCATTATAGGATTATTATGATATGCCCGGGTAGGCCAAAGTTATATGTTGAAGATCATAAATTACCTAAGGATGGCTATCCGAACAATATATAACCAATAATTTAATACGCTAATTCGATAACTTGTAAGTCACTAAACCGTGAGATTCTTAATGAACTTTTCATATCCAATTCTTAAACTATATTCCTGACGCGGTAAGTACTGTTAGATAAAACTCTTGATTGGTGTCATACATAGAGTAAATGTCGGGATAGTTGAATTGAACTATTAACGCCTACCTATCCTCTTTCGAAGGCGCTGCGCGCCTCTTATGTACCTAATTCTAGTAGATCTACCCCTGAATCTACCCCTAACTCACTTATTTCCTAACAAGTACTTAAAGTTGCCATGGCTGGACTTCAACTTCCGTCACCCTTCCTACATCCATTTTCATCGCCGGGACAGTAGTAACGGTAAGTCTCATATTACTGATAAAATAGATAGGCAGTTTTCTTAAGGAGGAAGGGGAATATACTGGAGTAAGATGCTGTCGAGTAAGCACCAAGATAGATCGTCACTCATCACCAGAATTTCCCATCTAATTGCCTTCAAGATCAATTCTCTATTAAAGCCCGCCCTGTCGTATCCACTTGGTCGACAAGAATAACAGATGTGTGTTGTCCATTGTATTTCTGATTTACTATTTTGATTGATCTACGACTGCAACTATATGTTCTGAGAGGCTGTTCGAATTAAGCGGCGTATGAGTCTACTTGAGGTGGACGCATGAGTGTGAACGAGGCGTTGTGAAGAAACAAGCGGATGTTGTGATATTTATATATAGAGCAAGTATCGAGCGTCTCATCTAGGACCTAGGCGAATACCTTGAACTAATACAGGCTATCGTCTAGATAATCTTCATTGTGGGGTTGTGTGACTATAGTTCCCCAAGAGCTAGGAGCAATTATCGTGCTTGGAACCTTGGATTTTCTATCTTAGCTAGGCCTACGGAACTCTACTTCTAACTAGGCACATATATTAAACGTACGGTATGGCTTAGCAAGCACTATTCACATGACTGGCTGTATTAAGCCACAGACAACTAATCGCATATTAATATATTTATATTTACTTGACTTATATGTCCCGTTCTCGGGATTTGAACCATCGGCCCCGCCCAAAGCCTTTACGCTACATTTGATTCGCTAGCAAATAAAGCCATTGGATTAAGGAGATTGGGAAAGGATTGTGATATTGATTTTAGGGTTCGTTTGGCGGTTGATGTATGCAATGCTATGCTTTAAGTCTTGGAGTAAGGGGCGCGCTATCACGAAAAAGAGGACCATGGGGGGTCAATGAGGCATATCCCGCGTACCAATGAATAACTTGGATACTCCGGAGTATGTCGTTCTCCGGTATTCATTCTCAATTTCGAGTTGAGAACTGGCGGATTTGGGCTATGTATAGGCATGTGTAGACAATCAACGACTACTACGTTGGCCCTAGGTCATGGCCCAGCTGCCCGACCGCAAATAGGATTCTCAAAATGGGCCAATTAAGTATAAACACGCGCGGAACACATTCTGTGCGACAAGAATTCTGACACGGCCCTTCGACCGTCGGCTCGAAACATCGTGTCGTTATGGAAAGCCCCATTCACAGCTTTCCTCGTCACAGGTAGTTGTACGTCTAAACACCGATCATAGAGCTGTTGACTGAGTTCTTTAGGAACTAGCTCATCCTTCCCTGCTTCTAAAATGAATACCTCCGGGGGAGAATTGCCAGTTTCATACTTCCGTGATATAATCCCCAGGTTCTTCCAGCTGTCGAGGTGGTTCCGCAGAAACGGCCAGAGGTACCGATACGGCAACCACTTCTGCGGATAGAGAACCTCTAACATGGCACGAATTGACGTGAATGGGGTTTCGAGAATCAAGGAATCCAAATGTACGTTTACGGGTATTATGGCCTCGGCTGCGAGGTTGGTAGCTACACCCGCGCCAATACTTTGGCCCCAGAGGACGACCTTTGCCGAGGGTCTCGACTCTTGGTTCTCTCCGCCGTAAGAATTACGATGCAGCTGAGAAATCCAGCTAAGAGCGGCGGCAGTATCCAAATTGAGACCCCTTTCGGTAGGACGGCCTCGTGAAGTCCAATAGCCCCTATAGCTAAGACATGCAGTTGTGCATCGAATATTTCGATCATCCCATTGTGACGAACGTCTCTTTAGCATGCAGAGGATCGAGGAAAGGTCGGGTAAGCGAGGGGGGGTGGACGAGGCGTTCCCTATCGTTAATCGTGAGCTGATCTCGATCTCTACCCCACAGAAGCAGAAATTCAATGCAGACCCTGTAAATAGAGTATGTAGAATGCAACATTTGGTACCGTAGACGTTGCACCAGAACCAAGTTCCATGTCCGTAATACACAGAGCAAGATCTGTCCCGTCAGCTGCGCGGATTCTTTCTTCCCGCCACTTAATGCCGGCACACCGATTGGCATGATCTTCGATCTTCTCCCAACGCGCATTGGGTGGTAGGCCCGGCATGTATATGATTTTATTCTGAAAAATGACCAACATCAAACACTTCCAGGTCCACAATGCAACGAATAAGCCGCTGAACACTACGGGAGCGAGCACCAGACCTTCAACGTGGTACCTTCTCCTGCATGTAAATGAGTTGTCGATGCGGGGTGTCGTGGAATGCCGTGGCGGGAGAATGGCCAGGTTTGGGATACCCCGAATGGAGAACCGGGAAAGACGGCGAATTGAGAAGGACATCGTGATTGCGAACTCGAGATCATGGTTGAATGGCTGAAGGTCTTTTATGCGGGGTGAAGCTATGCGCGCGAAATATGCGAGTGGATGGTAAAGTTATGATGATGCATTTCTCGACATTAAAATGGTGTGTCTTGAGCTGCACGAGAGCACAAAGAGGGAAGAATTCTCGATCGAGAATTGTTATACGTTGTTCTCAACATATGGGATTTTACTTTTGCATATGGAGGTTTAAAGTTGGAGAATCTCGAGCTTTATGACGATGTCAGGGGGATGCCATAATTCTGTCCCATAAAAAAAGACTAGCGTCCCGCCATCAATCCCCAAGTATTTCCAGCACAGCTCTTTCCACATTTCAACCGACTTATGTGTACTTACCTTAGGTAATCTGACGCTTAAGTTATCTCGGTTACGTGCTGAATATACGGTAGCACAGCATTTAGGTATGTATACCTTAGGCATCTGAAGCACTATCTATCAACACCTAGCCCAACTAGCACAATATCCTAAACATCGTCGTCATCAGGGACCCTGCAGTACAGTGCTTGCACGTGGTACATGTCATAATGGGGCCAATATTCCCCGCTCTTAGCATTAACCTGGACTAACTAAACTAAAGTCTAGAACATCATTGGATTCCATAATCGATATCAGTGGATCGATACCACGGTACAACGACTTTACGAAATACGCTAGCGCAGTAACTCTACATACCAAATTCCGCCGTCATGTCTCCAAACATTCTACAACTTTCTTCTTTCTTAGCGTGTCCGTCACCGAGCCCGCGATTCTTCATCTTCCGTCCCTCCTCACAAACTACCACCAAATCTTTCAAGATGCCTGGCCAATTAAACGGCGACGCGGATCACAAGCCGCCCACCGACCACCATATAGATGTGGTTGAAGACGAGACCCGTTCCGAGCGGGGAGATGGCCATCCTAGCCCCGGTTTAAGAGACAGCAAAGGCTGGGACGGCAAGCTGCGAGTCGAACGCAACACCCTGTTTAAGAATCCTGAAGCTCTGTCGGATCCCGAATATTCGGACGATGAAAATGTACTTCCAGGAGAAGAAATAAGTGCAGATGAGGGTAAGTTCATTTAACACCATATCTTCTATTAGCACCTTTATCAGCGGAACTCCTTTATTGACCGTTGTGTGTAGACCTCCTTGACGACGAAGATCCCGATACGGATGATATTAGTCTTATACATTCACGAATCTCTTCTATCTCTGCTCTCCGGCTGGAACGATTTAAGAAGGTCATACGACTATGCCTGCGTCAAAACCTCGTCCAGCACATCGAGGGGCTCTCCGACTTAGGCCCCACTCTGGAGGAGCTTGACCTATACGACAACCTCATTTCACACATCAGGGGTTTAGACGACTTAACTAACCTCACAACCCTCGATCTCAGCTTCAACAAGATCAAGCACATCAAGCACATCGAGCACTTGACAGAACTCACCGATCTCTTCTTCGTATCCAACAAGATTAGTACCATCGACGGGCTATCGACTTTAACAAAACTCCGACAGCTTGAGTTGGGCTCGAATAGGATAAGGGAGATCAAGAATCTCGATGCGTTGAAGAATTTGGAGGAACTCTGGCTAGCAAAGAACAAAATTACCGAACTCAAAGGCCTGGCTGGCCTGTCAAAATTAAGACTCCTAAGCATCCAATCGAATAGAATCAAAGACCTTTCTCCTCTGCGCGAAGTCCCTCAGTTGGAGGAGTTGTATATCTCGCACAATGCCCTCGAAAGCCTTGATGGTTTGGACGGAAGTCCTAATCTAACCATCATCGACATCTCGAATAACAAAATCCAGAGCCTAAAAGGCATGAGCAATCTGAAGAACATCGAAGAAGTATGGGCAAGCTATAACCAAATATCAGACTTTGCAGACGTTGAGCGGGAGTTGGCCGACAAGGAGAATTTAACAACGGTGTACTTTGAGGGAAATCCTTTGCAGCTGAAACAGCCTGCTCTGTATCGCAATAAAGTGCGACTGGCGCTACCGCAAGTCCAGCAGATTGATGCTAGTGAGTATTCATTGCAGAGACAAACAAAGGATCTAATGCTAACACTGGGGATAATAGCTTTTGTGAAGGCGGTTTAACCGCGAACCTATTTTCATAAGATGGATATTTGTTTGATGTGGAGTTTCCATATTGCATAGCACGGCGTTCAGGAGGGGTTTACCACGAAGGATTAGTTTGGGATCGAGCGAAAATAAGCCCTCCTTGTATTGTCAGATTAAGTCGCTTTAGGATAAAATACTTATTCAGGAGCAGACGGCCTTGACATTTTCAAGCCACCGTTGGGATATGTAACTCGGCAAAAGAGGGACGAACAGTGCTCGACACTGAATCTATGTCAAAAATAACCATACGCTCACGGAAATGGAAAATTACGAGTTTCACAATGTATTCATCCCGTCGGTGTTGATATCACGATACAGGTCGGAAAAGTCTAGTCTACCTAGACACCGGTCTAGCAAAATGACTCCCATGATCATAACAGACTTTACAATAGTGCCCACAATCGTCACTGCCAACGACGAAGATCCTCTACCACTATTCATATTAGCTTACTCAAACCTGATTACGTCGAGAAGCTCAAGCGCAGAATACAGTAGAACCCGCTGTCCAGCCACCGGGTGCCTATTTAACCAAAGATCCACATCTTATCCGTGTCGAAGTACTAATTAGAGACATGAAGGTTAGCATATATTTAGATTTAGAGGCCAGCAGGCAGTAAACAAATGAAGTCGGAAATGTCTCGACTCACGTTAGAAGGCTGGTTGAAGCGAATGCCTGCATCCTTAGCAGAGATGCTGTCGATATCAGCCTGCTCGAGATCGAATCCGGTACTGTCCAAGTTCTGGGCCATGATCTCGGGACGGACCGTCTTAGGGATAACAGCAAGACCACGTTGAGTAGCCCATCGTAGTAGGATCTGCGAGGGCTGCTTGTTGTACTTCTCGGCCAAACTGGTAATCAGGTCGTCCTTCATCAGGGGTACGAGGGCCTTGGCGTGCTTGAATCCGAACTCGAGGAAAGAAGCAGGGCCGAAGGAGGAGTAGGCCGTGACGGCGATACCCTCAGCCTTGCAGAGATTCAGCAGCTCCTGTTGTACTAAGTATGGGTGGTGCTCGATCTGTAGAGCAGCTGGGGGAATGGTTGCATATCGTAGCATGTCGTAGATCAGTTGCGCCTGGAAGTTTGACACGCCGATCGACTTAGTCAACCCCTTGTTTACCAACCCCTCCATGGAAGCCCACGTTATGTGCAACGGAGTGTTGGATCGGACGATGGTGGACTTGCCGTCGTAGTGCCATCCCGGAGGATACCGCACGGCCGGGTCGACGTACTTTAGAGCACCGGGGAAGTGGATCAGGTATAAGTCGAAGTAGTCAAGACCCCAGTCGGACAGGGAGCGCTTGCAGGCGGGCTCTACCTTGTCGCCATCCTCAAAGACAGGCCATAGCTTAGACGTAATGAAGAGATCCTCTCTCTTCACGATACCCTCCTTAATTGCACGCGCCACACCCTCACCACACTCTTTCTCGTTACCATAATCTAACGTGACGAAGAAAGCATATTAGCGACCCATGATAGTTCCCAGGTAGACCTTATTGTATAGTGTAGATTAACACGCCTGGGATCTTCACATGAGATGCAGACCAGGGGGTACCCCTGAAATGCTGGGCAGCGGGGTAATAATACCCGAGGAGGGGCTCTTATTACTTCTGAGAACTCTTCACGCGCCAACCTCACGATAAGGTATGGGAAAATATAGATGGGATGGGCTAGACATACCGCAGGCACCATCAAATAACCGGTAGCCGGTCTTGATGGCATTGTAAACCGTGTCGGCGGCAGTAGCGTTGTCAACCTTCCACAGACCGAAGCCCACCTGGGGCATCTCGTGGCCGCTGCTCAGCTTGATAGTCGGAGCCATTGTAGTCGATTTTATACTAAAGTGACGATAATAAGTGCTAGTGATCGGATAGCAGTTCGATATCCCGGGGTACTTTAGCGGCACAGAGAACCGACGGGAGAGTAGACGAGAACTACGAGGAGAGAGAAACGTAATGACAGATCGCATGGTCCTCGCGGAGTGCTGTTGGTGGGAGCAAGTCTTTTATACCCTTTTTCCCTTCTAGCCACGAGAGTAAATAAGCTACCCTGTTGACTACATCTCTACATCAACAAAAACCCTACCACCCGCGACCGCATTCCTTATGTGGAGATGTGCGCTTGTTAAAACACATTCGCCAAAGGAGGAAAAATTGGGCTGGCCGTATCTCGCCGAACAAACCCCATACGCTACAGTACTATCGTGGGCTCATGACTTAACTGATTGGCATGGATAATACCTCCTCACGATAGAAAGAACTCTGTCCTCCGCACGAAGAAGATGGGGGGAACCATTAGCGAGCCTCTCATTTGCTCGTTTAAACGTAGGCGGGGGAGAAGGCGGGTGTAAGTTGCAGCTAGAAAGCTCGCTAGGAACAAAACCGACGAGACGAGACGCAGCTCGAGACTATCTCGAGAAAAAGGAAAAGAACATACCTAGCAGCAGCGTGGATTGCAACGCTATGATTCGCTTGGGAGAGTGATTTCGCCGAGACCCGACTTTGTTTACCTTACCCGTCGCCGATTCGTCGATTGGAATACCCTCGCTCCTATACAATTTAGCCTGAATGTCAATCGTGGATACCTATGGGGGTCCACTGCGGCTAATTCTCCATTATCTCTTCAATCTCTTCACGCCTCCCCAGTTATAATCAGCGTGTTCGATGAGTCAGTTAATAGCCTGACCTGACTCGGGCCTGACCTGACCTAGCCTGGGTAGATAGCTTTTTCGGGATATCTATACAGTTCAGGTATAAAAGATTTTTATTTGCCTAACAGGCAGATAAGTTGAGGCTGTTCAGGCCCACTTTAATATATATTTATAGGATATAATTGGTCGATTTAAAGCAAACTATGATCGGCAACGTTTTATATTAAGGTAAATACAGGGTTGTTTCTGGCACCTTTTTACAATTGACGTAATAATAAGCTATTAAGACAATTCTATTTTAATAAAAAAAAGGGTACGTACCCCGATACGTATAAGGTAATGAGGCTATTTGTAATCGTGTTTTTTAAGGTCACGATAACCTTTTGGTGTTTTGATTAAAAAAAAGCGTTAAGGGTGGGGTTGAGTGGGTATATATTTTAGATTACCCCGAATCTGACCAATTGGATAGCGCGGATTTTGATTACCTAAATTTTTGCCTGTATCGATAAGAGAGATGCCTTTAAGTGCCTCAGGCCAAGCCCACGATACTGCCAGGTAAGCCTCATTTTTAAATATATTTGACCTGACTCGGATAAGGTCAAGTCTTTACAGTTATCTGACCTGACCTGGCTCATCGAACACGCTGGTTATAATCTAAGCTCGTGCTTACTTCTGTCGCTTTCATCCCACGTTTCTTTGCTGGATGTAGACGAGCTCCTCTCTTTTGTTCCCCCATTTTTTGACATGTTACTAATCACAATTTCTTAAAAGTAAATACTACAGGTCCTAATGTACCTGGAAGACTCGAAGGTAGGTTTATTCGACCAATCACTGGCCGTTGTAGATCGGGCTTGGCGATCTCGTATATGTCATTCAGATCTTCGACTCTGCGGCTCCTAATCCGCGCAGGTACTCTTGCGAACGTTACCTACCCCAATTAATTCCTATTATTGACCTCCCAGTGGCTCGTCTAATCTAATGCAAGGTCTAGCATAGAGTCTTATAACAATAAACTATAATATAAACATGAGAGGATATAAAATAAATGTCCGAAGTTTACCCATCTATATATTCTCCATAAACCTCCCCCCTATATTGAGGTATTAGTAGAATAAGGTAACCCGTGCTATGTTATATTAAAAATTAGCCCATCGTATTTAGATATTCAAGTACCACCATTCACACAGGTAGGTACCTAGTTATCAAGGTATTTTTAGAGATTATTAGCGAGGATACTCACGATACCGGCGTAAACCTTTTATCAATGCTGGTTACTGTTTAACGAGGGGATATATCCATCTTTCCCTTCTCTCAGGAAATCATAATAGTATTATGAAATACCCCAAGTAGATATAGTATTTGCGTTTCAGCAACCCCTTATTGCTACCACATTGTTGTCTAATAGGCAACCTTTGAACTTTCAAATCATGTCAAAAATCGATTACTAAGTGTTAATCTTTTTATTTTATTTCCCCCCCCAGTAACTTTCAAGGTTGAAAGGCATTTTCCGGAAGCGATCTCTTCTTTATTCAGTTTACCTTAAAATGATATTCCAATTGTTCTTAGTATGTCCTTTGGGTCTTTGTCTGGCGGAACTAACCTTCTCAGCCTTACATACCTACCTAATCAACGGCCGCAATATTTCAATATCTGTATAATTCATAACCCTCATTAATATCTCTTTACAATTATAGGATACGCACAGGTAGAAACATATGGTGAAGTATTGATCTATCGTAATCACGAAGAATAGAGGAATGAGTTCCAACAGGCGGCAGAATCGGCCTTTTGGCAGTAATATGCTCTTGAGTAAGAAACCACCAAGAAATTTAAGCACACACCAGACACTAATGTTTGGGTTAAACTATAGAGCATCTTATGAAACGCCGTATAGCAGGATCTCGATCAGGTGAAGACCCGTCTTTTATACGCGCCCGAAGGTCGTTGAGAAAGCTCCAGCAAAACTTCGAAGAAAACTATCCAGGGCGTGCCAAATTTCAGAGGGTACTTGGCCATGGCGGTTATGGCCTTGCCACGATGGTATGTAACTTGAAGGATTTGCCAATTCCTCCATCCATCAACTTGGACATGAGCCCCCCTACTAAATATATTATAACAAACAAAGCGTATATACTATGGTTAACGGTTGGTGTTATAGTGGAAAGTGAAGACCCGCAGCGGCCGCGAAGTTGACGTTGCTGTCAAGACGAGTATTAGAAAAGGTGATGAAGAGAGAGAGTTAAGAACCGAGATCTTTATTCAGGGGGTAAGTGAGCGTGCGCTCTTAGTCAAGTTCGCATTATTGACTTTTCAATAGGAGCTACTCCTAGGTGCGGAACATATCGTCCAACTTATCGATATCGAGGAAGACATTCCGGATACCGCCAAGCTCTACAACAATCGAGCTGCAACAGTACCGGTCATGGTTATGGAAGTTCTCGAGAAAAATACACTCGCAGATCTTATAGATAGGATTAATAGGGCAAGAATTGCGAATTACCACATACTTGATGATGATGAAGCCGAAAGTCCTTGGGCAGAAGGACGTTACGATAGGAGTGCCTTCCAAATTGGTTATATTCCTAATCGAATACTATGGAGACTTTTCTTGTGTTGTAAGCCAAAGCAGACCTGGATTGTAGAATTTATTGGGCAACTACTAAAAGAAAGCATCCAGTGGCCAGAGGTGTTACCGGAATGGCGTACGGGCCTCCAACCGAATCAACTTATGTAGAAGGGCAGCCATATCGTGAAAATGTACGAGACCGGGCAGTTAAACGGCTACTTCACATGGATCTCGATATATATAATGGTTGGAGATTTCTTCATCATATAACCTAAAACTAATGTAGCTAATAGCAAGCAGTCCTTGTCGGAGATATTAGCCACAGCCTAATGGACCCCGAACATGTCATGGCCCCAAAAATAAAGGTTCGTTATTCATAAAACGCCTACCATACTACCGCTAACTAACTGTCTCTATAGATAGCCGACTTCGGGATTTCTATAGAATGGTTTGACGGGATGACGGTTCGCGAGTACGAAGCTACCTTTCCCGGTTCCCCCCGTTTTATGTTACCCTTTATACGATGCGCATTATTAGATTGCTAATGGCTAATCCGTGACTTAGGAGGGAAAGCCTAGTACAGAGAGGAAAGCGCGATTTTTACGCGCCAGTAAGTTGTGTAATTCCCATTTTAACTACCTTTAAATAGTAACTTACGTTATGAAGGAACAAAAAGACTTTCGAAATGCCGCGCGGGATCCTCGTGCTATAGGACCTGCGATCAATATATGGGCTATAGGATTAGTAAGTATACTCCTCTCCGCGAGGAACTCTTGAGTTTAGTAATAACCCATGGTTGTCGAGTAGATCATGTTGAACCTCTTAACGTTGGCACACCCGCGCCTTTCGTCTTGGGAGCCCAGGGTGAGAACATATAGCGCACCGCACCAAGGAAACCACAATTATCGACAAAAATTCATAACCTGGGGCTGGTTCCTCCTTGATGACGAGGAGCATCATCCTAGCCCGTTTATCATGTCATTCGACTATGAGCTTCGCCTACTAATAGCACGTTGCTTGGAGACTTATGGCCCAAGACGTCCAACGCCAGGCCAGCTGATAGCAGTGATCCTGGAAAACATCGCGAAAACAGACGCTAAATCTCAGAGACTTTCAGACGAAAGAATTGCCCGGGAAGAGCAGGATTACAGGCAGCGCCTGATAAACGAGGAGCAGAGGGAATCTGAAGCCATGCGATATTCTGATTTCTACGATCCTGATTTTGATGACTCGCGGGACTTTGGACACTCAACTCGTCCACGAAATATTCCTCCTGACGATCCGATGAACATGGATCCGAGTGAGTTGAATCAGTGGCTGGAACAGTTAGACCTTAATGCTCCGGTACGCCGCAATAGGCTCGGGCCGCCAATTTTCTTCGGTTCTCAGAGTTCTCAGAGGACTGTCGTCCCGAAGGAACCACCCCTAATACCCATTTCGGACGATATGCATATCAGCGGCGACCCATGGAGTTACCTAATGGGAGGGGAACCTCGCCCTCCTCCTCCGGCATACGACCCGATCCCGATATACGAGCAGCAGCCTATTGCGGGACCCTCAACCGCCACCCCGGGTCCGTCTGTGGTTGTTCCCGAGCCTCCACCGCCAAGGCCAAGAACGCCGGCAGCCCAGAGAACCATCACGCGCAACGACTACCGCCCGGTCACGGAATTCCAGACGCCGCCCGAGCTCGAAGACGTCGACCTGCTTGTGAAGTTCTACAACGACCACCTCCGCGACCCACCTCGGAGAGTCGATCCTTACGCGAAGCTATGGTCAAAGAACACTCCCGAACCGAGTATACAGAATCCGACACCCCCTAGAGTAGGGCGCCACGTCAGGTTTAAGTTAACCCCGGTCCCTCCCGGGGGGATTCCTTCTGCGATTTGGAATCCCCCTCCTCCTCTCGGATATCCTCCCGATCTTTCTCCCAATACAGAGCGGGAACGTGAAGATAATTTGAAGGAACCACCAGCAGTATTACCTTCTGACCAGTTCAATGAAGGTGACATATATGAAGGTGAGGCTTGATATCTCACGAGACATACCATATTACAAGACAGGCTGACCATATGCAGCCACTCCCCTTCCCCCCCGCCCCCCTCCCCATACGAAGTTTGCCGTATGACGTAGCTTACTTCAATCTAGACGGGCTGTATCGCTGTACAATACTATAGCACTTGTTGTTTTCTTCGCTTCACTCAGATGTTTCGTGTATCGAACATTTATTCGACTTGTTGGGGCGTTCAGGGGATGCTTAAATAAACATATTTAGATCATTTAAGTTGAGTTAGTTATGAAATACAATGAACCCGGGTCGGGATTTAGGGTATAAATCGGAACTCACTATTTCCTACGCCTTAAATTTATTCTTGTTAATAGATGATCAGACATGATAAATCTAGGGTATTTCTCTACTTAAGCCTTTGATCATACTTATAAGGGTCTTTCCGCTCCTGAATCCCTTTCAGGTTGCTATCAGAAATCCACCATACTCATCAGGCAATTCCTTTCTATCGATGCACAATAGATCCACCAATGCTTCCAGTATAATCCCTATAAATACGTATGATCTTTATACCGCTTATCCCTTTTTCTTCTCCTTCTCCTTGCCCTTCTCACTCATATCTTCCTAATCCTCATTCCTCTCCGTAACCACCAACCAAAAAGTCCTAGCTTCCAACTCAAGCGGGCCAAGAACCCGTACATTAAGCTCTGCAATATGTGCTCCCAGGGCAGCTAGCTGCCCTTCCGCGCTTGCGTCCTTGGCCCCGCGTGAAGTCTGCAGTAATTCGTCGGCGGACAGGCCAAGAATCTGACCTAGTTCCGCTGTGTCCAGCAGATGGGCGTCGAGCCCGCGCCGGTGCAACCACTCGATGTTCGCGGCGGCTGTGTATGCAATAGCGCGCTCCTTTGGCGTCTTCGGCTCCCGGCTGACGGCGTTTATAGCCGCGAACGGAAGTCCGACTGCGGCGCCGACGGCCCGGAGGGCGGTGGCAACTGGAATGACGATGGTGGCACCTACGACATGAACTGCGGCGCCGACCACGTTCCCCGACTTGGCGGTATCCTTAATGGTTTGGCCTGAGGCTTTAATGTGCGCCATCGTCTCCTTGCCGAAGCGCTTGGGCACGTCGCCGACGTGTTGCGCCATGTCGCCGGCATGGCTGACGGCTTTCTGTGAGACGGTCGCCGCTAGGAAGCCTGATAGAGTGCGGATGAATCCGAGCCAAGTCTCTTGTGTGATTCCATGGCGTAGTAGTGATGGCGAGGATGCTTCGAGGAAAGGGGAGGTGGGGTCTGCTTTGATCTGGGGGATTGCGATAGGACACTGATCGCTAGTGTTGGCTGCTAAAGCCGAGTATGGTGGTAGGTCACTATCAGGAGGGAAATTGAAAGGGGAGGCAGCTGTCGGCCCCGTTTCCGGTGTCTCTGTGACGATCGAGGGGCCGGAGACATCTTCATATGAAGGGAGTGCCTCACCCTGTGCTTCTTTCTCCTTTGACTGTGCCATGGAGTAGATATTAGATTATAAATAGTAGATTACCTATCTTTCCAAATTCAATATTTACCTAGTTATACTCTCCGGATCGACTGATGGATAATTCTTGACTAAACTTCTATGAGAAAACTACGAGTATTAATAATAAAATTCGGAATCATGTATTAAAAGAAAAATGCCGAGCTCCGGCATGGCGATGCCACTGCGCCGCTTTGGAGGTGGGGTAGCTACGCGTTGTGAGGCCTCTGAGAACTCAGCTGGTGGAGATTATAAATAACGAAAGCGAGAACGAAAACGGTGGAGATATGTCCATGGAACTAAGTAGGTTAGTTTGGTGAGATATTATATCTGTTTCTACTTTCTCAAGAAGTTGAACCTAACCGGTTAGTAAAGTTACGAACGACATTTTAGAATCGTTTACTTACAGCTTTAACAGAGCTAAGCCGCCAAGCAACGATAGGGCTGATGGATCATTAAAGGGTGATCTCTATAGTGATGTGTGGCTCTGTTCCTGTTCTACACTGCGGCAATAGAATAGCTAGGTCTAGGTACGGATCCGTACAGCCACTATTAAACCTGTTTACGCAATGCTTCTCATTTCACCACAACATAAATGCGGAACTTGACTATAATATACTTATTGAATATTCCTGTATTCATAGCCATAATCCGTATTCAATTTAACTTTACCTAATCCATATATCTTAATTAATGAAAATTGGTTTACACTGGTTAATACCATAAGCCCTTAGGAACGATCAAGGAAGCGAACTTGGTAAAGTATAGTCACATAAAATTCGTCTACTAGTATAGACACCGAGGTGATTAAGAAAGCTTAAATGAAGGGTATAGACTTGCATTAGACTTGTATCAAGGTCAGCCATCTGAGTAGCCAACTTCTTGATGTTAAGCTTTTACACATATGCAGGTCATCGGGAAACCAAGTCTAACTATTACCACTAGACAACAGAGTATATTACTCTGTGGCTTGCCAACACTATCCATCATAAGACTCAAACGGATGAGAGCTGATTGGAGGCTTCTTAGCAATTCCGTAATGTAGCACGGTTATGTGGCATTCAGATGAAGTACTACCGACGATCACTGCCAAGGTGCGTGATGTAATGTGATAAGGTCTCATCCCGCCCTATCCAAGTTCGCAGCTCCCTTTGGACAGCTTCTGCATATATATAGCTTCGGCTCTTTTTGTTTCATATTTCTAGGAGTCGCCGTGGATAGCACGTTATCGTTGACGTAGTCGGCTTTACTATCACCTTACCCCTGAGAACCTGGGGTAACGTTCATATAGACTTTCTATAATAGGCAGTTCAGAACATCGCCGACCCACTTGACTGACCACTTGAGCTATGTACATCGATACCCCGGACTTCCTTAATTACTTTCTTGATTACAAGATATTATAGTATTTAGCTCCTAGGTACACAACATAGAGGCAATCAAGAGACACTTCAGATGGCGAACTAAATATCACCTCTCTATAACGTTTGAGCGTATTTGCGGTCTTTGTTTGCTCTAGATAGGTAAATAACAACTTGAGCATGCTTTATATACGTTAGAGAATTATAATTGTCGCTCGTCTTGTGATATCAATCAAGATCGATGACTGAAACATGCGGGAAAAGGTAGCATATGCAAGACATTTAGGGTGGCATGAGGCTCTAGGCTGACAGCTACCTAAATCAAACACTTAATCTGGAATGCAACTACAAGGATAAAATAGGAGGTGCTCAACGTTACACTTCATTCCGGCATGCGGATGGTCTTAAATATACTCAAGGTATCTATATAGAAAGTACGCACCAGGTGTTGCTCGACCTTTGATTTCCACCTTGTGTCGTTATCAACTGGAATCCGTCCTACTCCTGAAAGATCACTTAGTCGTTGAACTCAAGCATTCGATCCCAATATGCATATCTCCCGAGCTGTAACAACCGCAACCGCTGCGGCGGCACCGCGGTTCGCCATGTACTACGACCAGTGGCACACTGCGTCTCCCAGCAAGGACCAGATGGCCGGAGTAACACATGTAGTCACCGCATTTGCCGGCACTACACTATTCACAAGCGATCCGGCTAGCTACTATTCGCCGTTCGTAGACGTAGGAACACTCCGCAGCCAATTCCCCGACGGAACCAAGATGTGTGTGGCGATCGGAGGATGGGGTGACACTTCTGGATTTTCAGTCGGTCAAAAGGACGATGCGTCGAGGAAGACTTACGCGAAGGGTGTTGCCGCGATGCTCGAAAGCCACGGTTACGACTGCGTTGGTGAGTAGCTCTAATTCCAAGAAGAAGAAAAAAAGACAACCGCAAGATCTATATTGTTAGTTTGGTGCTAAGCCTCGGTAGATGTGGACTGGGAATACCCCGGTGGTAATGGTGAAGATTATAAGCAGAACCCCAACTCGGGCAAGGTCGACGAGATCGCCAACTACGCCTTGCTACTGCAAGAAATCAAGTCAGCGATCGGCGACAAGGAGCTTTCCATCGCGGTTCCCGGCCTTGAGAGGGATATGATTGCCTTCACATCTGAGCAAGTCCCCAAGATCAACGATGCTGTCGATGTAGTTAACGTAAGTCGCACGTACACTAGTAACATACTCCAGACAGAGGCTAACAAGAGCTCCCCCGACAGGTTATGGCATACGACTTAATGAACAGGTAAACACTACCAAACAAACGCGATATCCGTCCAGTAAACACCCCAGCTAACCTTACCCTCCCCACAGACGCGACACCCAAACCACGCACCACACCTCCGTTAAAGCATCCCTAGCCACGGTCGACAAGTACATCTCCCTCGGCATGGACGCCTCCAAGCTCAACCTCGGCTTCGCCTTCTACGCGAAATACTTCGTCACCCAAGGCGAATGCACGCAGCCGATCGGATGCCCCACGGTCCAGCTAGAAGACGCCAACGGCGGCGACACGGGTAAATCCGGCGCCGTGACCTTCCTCGAGGGGCCCCCGGTCCTGTCCAGCGGGAAGGCCGACACCGAGGAGGGCGGCCAGTGGTACTGGGACGCGGCCGAGAGCAAGTTCTGGACGTGGGACACGCCCGACTTTATCGCGCAGAAGTTCGAGCAGATTGTTAAGGCGAGGGGGTTGGGTGGCGTTAGTAAGTTCTCACTCACTGCCTTATTTCTTGTTGTCTACCTATCCATATATTCTGGGAAAGGGGAGAAAGAAGCTGACTTTTGTTCGTGTACAGTGGCATGGAGCTTGGGTGAGGATTCAGCAGACTGGACGTACGTCAAGGCTATCCAGGCTGGTTTGGCCACACTATAAGCGGTCATGTCGTGATATTCCTCTTTACATTTCGTGTAAATCTTTTCAACTGAGACGCTGGGTCTTGGACCTTTGTATATACCATAACTTCCATGCATTATATTGAATTAGCACATCTCAAGCAGAATCGAGTTTCTACTACAAAAAATACCTATTAGCCTAAGAAAGTAATAATTGAATCCGATTAGGAAACGAGATTTCGAGAGAAAATATAGCTTCTACAACCTCACAGCTTAACAACTAGGTGGAAAATAAAGCCACATTCGATTTAGCACAGAATGATATTCGATATGGAGTAGGCGGTACCGCTATATTCAGAGATTATCGGGTATTTTAAGACTATACGAAAGGATAAGACCTACTATTTGCAGGCGATTTCCGAGTCATTAACAATTCTGTCCAATCCTACAAGATCTGTCCCACTACTCGTCGTCTTCGTCAGAAGACTCCTCATCCTCGTCGTCGAAATCCTCCATTTCTTCATCTTCCTTCTCCAATCGAGCAGCATTCTCTTCCAGCGCCTCTTGCTCTTCTTCCTTTCGCTTCCGCTCGTCCTCTTTCCTAGCCTGCTCTAGCATCTTAGCCTTCTCCGCCCCCGCTTTCCTCTGAGCAACGACATAGGCGCCAACCGGGGTCTTTTCCCACTCAAAGTCCTTCAGGAACGCATCGACCTGTGACCGATCTCTAGGCGCGAAGTCGACCTTGGCCCTTTTACCTTCGATGAACTTCACATTTGCCTCAAGCTTTTGAACTAGTAAAACGAGACCAGCGCGAACCTTGCTATTGTTGTTTCCACCTGTCTTCTTTCTTGACTGCTTGAGCCATCGCTTAAGCATGATGATGACAGGTAGGGCAAACTCGGGGAACGCTATATTCGTAGACCATAGAACAAAGTACTCCGAGAATAGCTCCACCACCTGTTCCCCGACTCCATCTTGATAAACTCGCGTCCGCAGATATGCCTTGGGGGCCTTGTAGGCCACGTGGAAATCGAGAGGCTTGATAGTTGACTGCTTTGGTGACTTTCTTATCTCTGCGGAGTTTAAGACTTCTAATAGAGCCGATGCTAGCGGGATATAAGTTCCAGTTGACCGTGAAACACGAAGAAGCGACCTGACCATATGAAATCGAAGGGGAAAATAAGTTGCGGTAGGTATTAAGCGCATGGCACCAAGTGTAACTTGGACAAGCGGGTAGATGAGGGGCCTGAGCTGGGATTGCTTCCCAGTTTCCGCCTCCTTCAGCGGACTGCAATGCTCCGATAGTACACAGGACCAGAAGTCTACTGAGTGTACATATTGCCAATTGTAGATGGTTCTATACGAGTCGTTTTGGTTGTGCACGATGCTGTTGCGTAGGTGGATAGCAAGTTGGCGGATGAAAGTGAAAGCCGTTGTATAGCCAATATTTTGATCTAGGGCCCAGAGCTCAGCGGCAGAGTTTTTCATTAAGTTGATTCCTTGTATCGTGTTGACGTTTGTCACACGAGATCCTGCGACTAAGCCTTGGTAGGTTGCTTTCAAGACAGCTTCTCTGATACCTTTGTCGCCCACGACGACCAGTCGTCGCAAAACTAAGAAGGCAGTAATTCGAGTTGAGTCGCTACTCGTAGACTGCGACCAAAATCCGACAACAGCTTTGATCAGATTTTTCAGTAGCTTTCGGAAACTCAAGAGGTAAGGGACAAGGGGCGTGATAGCGGATAATGTCAGCTTGAGGGTAGCGTCATCCGACAGCGTACCGACCAGGTATAAGATGGAGGATATGAAGGATTTCAGGAGCATTGAAAGAGTTTTAAACTTCTTGGTATCCGAAGGGATATGAACCTTTCCGGATGAAGACTCCTTGATAGGAATATGGTGCTGAATGACTTCAGGGATTTGCTTGAGCGCAACAATGAGGATGTCGTGGAAAACCTCGGGGTTTGATATCTTGTACATCTGTTTCCTTCCCTGCTCTTCGTCGTCCTCGTTCAGGTGTGCTGCGGATCTAAATGCCAAAACTACTTGCCTCGCAGCTCTGAGTGATTGTTTATCTGACAGTGCTGTCTTCCACCGTGAAACCATTGCCTGTGTTAGCTCGTTGTCGGCTTTATCTTCTTCGTCTGCGCCATCCGTCTTTCCTTGTTTCTTTTCCTTCTTTCGTTTCTTCTTGGGTTGGTCTTCTTCCTCGCTACCGCTCAACTCGTCTACTTCGGCTAGGTCTGCATCATCGAATTCTAATGCTTCGGGATCGTTCTCTTTTAAGAATTTGTAGAAATCGGGGTCTTCCTGAGCAAGGGCGTCCATCGCCTCTTTACTCATGCCGATATCATCGGCATCTTCGTCGCCTGAATCTTCACTTTCGCTGGCGACAGGCATTTCGTCGGCGGATATATCGATGTCGCTACCTTCATCCGACGTAGCATCGTCCTCGATAGGCTCGTCTCGCTTGCGTTTTCCTAGCTTCTTAGACGTCTTCTTGGCCGGTTGAGCTTTGTCGATTATCTCAAATCCACCGCCGAAGAAATCATCAACGCTCATTTCATTGACGTTGGATGTTCTCTTGGAGCCATTGGGCTTATTGGATTTCTCGCCATCCTCGGCGCCCTTATAGAACTCGGCATCTTTTGCTTTTTTGGATTGCTTCTTGGCTTGGACCTGATGCCTCTGCTTTATTTTTGCAGTCGATTTCCGTTGATCTAGAACACCTTTTAGGTGCTTCTGCTCGAACTTCTTAGTTGCCTTGAAATTTTTCTTTGCGCCCGCCATTGTAAGATTTGTCACGAAATTGTGACAGCGTAGTCGAACAATTGCGCAATGAACTTGGTAAGTGATTGATTTTACGGGTGCTGTATCGACAACTGCGACAAACCAAATTTTTTTTAGATAAGCTTATCGCGGGGTTCTTATCGCAATCTAGTAGTCTAATACATGTAATTCAATATGGTTGGCTCATGGCTGCACTGCATGGGTACCTCTAGGTAAAGTCCCTTACCTAAGCCATTCAACAAGGTAACTGCAAGTTGCTACTGAAAGTGAACCAATTACTTTACCATTAACTAACCCATTACATACTTCTCTAATATTAAACTTGGTCTCTTCCTTTTCAAGACTCATTAGGACTTATCAATATACAGGCTTTACAAGATGAATCCCCGCCAGGCCTATGCCCCAACGCCCCATAGCTATGTCCCTAATACCGCCCTATCAGCTACGATAAATCTAGATGAGGTATGCATTTAATCATCTATTCTACGTTACTCATGAACCTATGCTAATAAATCTATAGGAGGTGAAGCTAGCAGACACCCGCGCTGAGAGGGACCTACAAGATTCTCTTGCTGAGATCTTTTCTATCATCGTCACCTTAGATGAACTGGAGAGAGCATTTCTTAAAGATGCCATTCCCGAAACCGACTATACTGAGATTTGCGAACGATCACTGAAACAGTATAAGTCTATTCTAGCAGACGAAACTGTGGCTAAAGCTTTTGTGGGCCTGGAAGAGTTCAAGGCCGAGTGGGATGTAAGGAAATCTGTTATATTTCATGGCTAGCACTAATCGCATTCTCATAGCTCGAAGTTCCTAGGGCGACAGAGCGGCTTAGAGTAGGCATGCCATCAACTGCTGTCACTGCATCAACAGGGGCCGCTCAAGCATCAGCTTCGGCAAACAACAAGTCCGGTGCTCTCATCCTTGAAGCGACGCAGGACTTCATCACTTTCCTAGATGCCTTGCGCCTCGGACTTTTAGCAAAGGATCAACTACACCCTCTCCTGACTGACGTTATTCAGAGCGTCAACAAAGTCACTGACCGGGATTTTGAAAATCGCGGCAAAATTGTACAGTGGCTGATCACATTAAACCAGATGAAGGCGACTGAGGAGTTGAGCGAACAGCAGGCCAGGGAGCTTGAGTTGGACATTAACTCGGCGTACTTGGGTTTCAAGAACACGTTAAACTAATACGCCCCAAAAAGATATCAAAGTCATATATCGAGTTATCTATCAATGATATAGGCATTGAGAAAACGCTTATTTTTTTTAAAAAAATGACTGATGACTGATGACCACAGAAGGGCGTTGAGGAAGAGAGTGGGTCTTAGATTCCGCCATTTACTGGCCAATTGGCCTAAATGGACCCACCATTAGGGCGCGAGTCTGTCATGCCCAAAAAACATCTCACAGAGTATTTGAGACGAGGTTCGTGAGGAGTAATTTGTCGATGGACTTAAGAACCTCAAAATAACCCCCGAGCCGAGCCAAACGTATCCATCTTAAATACGAAAATATTAAATCCATTCGAACATTACACTACCGAAATCTTCGATATGCAGCGCACCTATCTCGCGTTCCATCATAACGCTAAGCTCCATACCCTACAAACTGTAGTCACTGCAGTCCGCTCAATAGCAGCTCTTGAGGAGGCTAACAAGGGACTTTTCAAACAAGCCAAGGAAGATGACCATGTTGTAGTCACGGAGAAGACTATATTCCACCCTCAAGGCGGAGGTCAACCTTCTGACGTTGGTGTGATGAAAAGCCCTGAGGGTACAAGTTTTGATGTGTCCATGGTGCGCACGAGTGCTACAAACGACGGCGAGATACTGCATTTTGGCAGGTTCGCGAATACTACGGCAATTTTCAAGGCTGGGGACTCGGTCACTCAAACCATTGATAGTGAGAAGCGGAATCTATACTCCCGGTATCATACAGCTGGGCACGTTCTCGGTGCAGCTGTTCGACATCTCCTCGAGAAAGAGATAGCCAACTTCGATGAACTAAAAGCATCACATTTCCCCGATTCTGCTGCTTGCGAATTCCAAGGTCTCATTGAAGGGAAATGGAAGGATGCTATTCAAACTCGGTTGGATGAGTACATTAGCAAAGACATGCCAGTTGAAATAGATTGGTGGGACGAGAACGACTTCAAGGTAAATGGACTTGAAAGATTAATACCCGATCGCAAAGCAATGGGTATGACAGACGATGAGAAATTCCGAGTCGTGAAGATTGTCGGAGCCGAAACCTATCCCTGTGGCGGCACGCATGTTGACAGTACAGAGCAATGCGGCAAGACCAATGTGAAGAAGATTAGTCGAGCGAAAGGGACAAGTCGAGTGAGCTATGTGCTACCTTAGCAGTTGGCCGTCGAAGCGGTCAAATACGGCCTTTCACAGCAAGAATAAAACTCACCTAATGTAACCTAACTGGACTAAAGGGTACGTGCTCAGAGCCTGGCGTGAATGTCAGACAACCTTACCTAACTTAAGCGTTGTCGCCCATTCGAATTACAATATTCTAGCACGTGGGTGTATAATTCTAGGCATAATCCTAGGCCGAAGTTCAAATTTTAACCCATCGACAACTTAAACAAGTCTAGATATCGGCTAGCTAACGTATCTTTCGATGATCGCAGTACGATGGAACAGGTAGACATCAATCCAGATGAATCAGCTAGAAACGGCTTTACACATACTCCCTTGCAACAAGGTACAGGGTATCATTTGACCTTTGGTCCCTGTGGGACTGCTGCAGGAAATCCAACGCCGATCGTGGGAACCTGGAGTTCAATCGGGGGCGTGTATGGTACATCAAGCCTATATTCTCCTTCGTATTCATCGCCAATATCGAATCAAGTATGCACATCAACCCGCGCACCACCCAACTTGAGCGGCTAGCGCGAATAGCTATCCTCTCAAATAGCATTATCCCACACCTTTTGTACAAGTAAATATCGAAGATGTTTAGCGTGGATGGGTCTTAGGCGATGCTGTGTAAGAGGTTTTGTTTCCAAAAGGCCCGGACATGTGGTCCAAATGATTGGCTAAGACAACCGTAAATGGCCATTGTCAACATGCCTAGGTTAACCTAAAGCTTTTATTACATTAGTGGGGTTTCCTGCTCAGTGGGGTACAAAGTTCAGGGTCTTTTCAATTACGAAGTACATGCATGCATCTTACATATACATGTCTCTTGTACATGCATGTGCTCAAGAGGCAGAGAATTCAGATACTCCTCAACCTACTACCTTTACTACCTTCTGCATGTGTATACCTACACGTATATCTAGTTGTCAGATTAACGATATCCCACTCACCATGCATGTATGTAAGTACTCCTTTTGGTCATGGGGTAACTCAAAATGCAAGTAGCCAAAGCTTTTCTGTTGGTAAGAGGTGGGCAACTAGTACGAAGGACTCTCTCATATATATTCCTCTATGGTCTACCGTTACTTTCCCCCCCTTTCTCCTTTTCTGTTCCTTATACCATATACTCTTACCAATTGCTGTAATTCGATTCAACATATCGAAGGAATTTCAACATCCCGCTCTCATTACTTAAGCAATGAGAGAGTATCATGGCTTCTCTTGGTGGTAACATCTTACCCCCTGATCCGCATACAAAAATATATCTTGCTGGAGTAGCAGTTGTCCTATTGGTAGGCGTATGCTACTCTACAATGCTTGCGAGGAAAGCAAAAGACAGCGAGAACCCTGGTCTCGTACAGTCGTTGTGGCTTTTCTTCTACACATGCTTCCTCAAACCGCATGATGGCGACAACAATGGCAACCAGCAGGATGCCCTTGAGAGCTTTTACAAGACGCAGGCCGGCGCATACGATGCGACGAGGAAGGCCCTCCTAAAGGGTCGCGAGGACATGTTAGCTCTTGCAGCTGCTCAGCTCTCTCATCGAGCAACACAAGGCGGCGAGAAGAAGAGACGTGTTTGGGTAGACGTACGTGCCCAATCACAATTACGGTCATAAATCACCAAGGTTACTAACCATACAAATAGGTTGGTGGAGGGACTGGTTGGAACATTGAATCCATGTCCAAATTCGTCGATGTTGCTCAGTTCTTTGACAGTGTGTACCTGGTTGACTTCTCCCCATCTCTCTGTGAAGTCGCTCGCAAGCGTTTCGAGAGACTGGAGTGGAAGAATGTCAAAGTTATCTGCCAAGATGCAAGAAATTTCCGCTTGGAAGACCACGAGCCTTCTTACCAAGGTAGACGCGCCTCCGATTCTCTGAATCGGAACTACTTCTTCCAGGAGAAGCCTAGACATGGCGGTGCCGACTTGATCACCATGTCATACAGCTTATCTATGATTGTGAGCATGATTCAACTTAGGCATATCGGACATTTACTTACAAAGTTATAGCCTGACTACTATTCTGTCATTGACTCGCTGCCGTGTTTACTGGCTCCGAATGGTATAGTTGGCGTGGTTGACTTTTATGTTCAATCTCAAGTCGATATTAGCTTCCGAAACTATACCGGTGGCCATGCTAACCGCCATGTCAACTTCTTCGGCAGGACATTCTGGCGTGCGTGGTTTGATATTGACCGAGTTGCTCTCGAACCTGGAAGGCGTGACTATCTCGAGTATAGCTTCGGTACAGTCTTGAATGTGAACAACCGAAACTACGCTCTAGGTGCAATTCCCTATTACATATGGCTGGGAACTCATAAGCAACCATCATCATCATCCAGCATTCCACACGAAATTGTTGAAAAGCTCGATGCTCTGGTTACCGAGTCACCTTACCTTTACCCAGCCAATCACTCAGCCGCTCTATCTCGCGCAGTCGAAAGGGCTACGCCAGAGATCCGGTCTAAGGCTTTTGACGCTGCTATTGTCAATCTTTCTTCTAACTTGCCTCTTCCGTCCTTTTTCTATCAGAACCATCACTATAGGATTTATTATGACGATCAGCTCAAGAAACATACTCAATTCAACGATGAGTATATCTATGCCTTCACCTGGGAAGATACTCGTGTCGATGAACGCATCCTCAAGCTGAAATCGGACGATGTGGTGCTGGCTATCACCAGCGCCGGCGATAACCTTCTTTCTTATGCTCTACAGGGACCAACTAGAATCCATGCGGTCGATTTGAACCCGACGCAGAACCACCTTCTCGAGCTCAAAGTAGCCGCATTCTCTTCTCTCCCCTATGAAGATTTTTGGAAGATTTTCGGCGAGGGCAAACATCCCGAGTTCCGCTCCTTGCTCATCTCAAAAATGTCTCCTCATCTATCTAGTCGTGCGTTCCAATACTGGCTTAACAACCACCACATCTTCACCAAGATTCAGGGTGGTCTGTACGACACGGGTGGATCGAAACATGGGATTCGCATCTTCCGCTGGATTTCTCGCGTATTTGGATGCCGATCCGCCGTTAAAGAGCTACTCGCTGCCAAGACCTTAAACGAACAGCGTGAAATCTGGCGCAACAAGATTCGCCCAGCACTCCTTTCCCGCCTAGTCTCCAAGTTCGTCGTGAGCCAGGAGTCCTTCCTGTGGACGGCACTTGGAGTGCCCAAGAACCAGCTCGCAATCATTGAGGAGGATCATGCTGTATCGGAAGTGGTCTGCGGCCCTGACGCACGGGCTAAGAATACGCGCTCCCACGCCATCTGGGAGTATATGGTCAATACACTAGACCCGATGGTAGAGTCGACGCACATCGCGGCTGACAATCCGTACTACCTGGTGTGTCTTGACGGCAAATTTAGTCGAACCTGCCATCCAGACTACCTGTCACCTCAAGCGCATGCCCGACTCTCTCGCCCGGGGGCGTTCGATGGGTTACGCATCCACACGGACGAGATCGACGAAGTGCTCGCACGCATTGCGCCCGGTACCCTGACAGTGGCTGTTGTTATGGATAGCATGGACTGGTTCGATCCAGGATCAAACGCTGCCGCGGCACAAATTGCTAAGCTCAACCGGGCGTTACGCATGGGCGGACGTGTTATGCTGCGCTCCGGGGGTCTCCGGCCTTGGTACCTAGCCGAGTTCGAACGGCACGGGTTCTCAGCTAAATGTATGGGCGAACGCACGGGAGGTAAATGCATCGATCGTGTGAACATGTATGCAAGCTGCTGGATCTGCACCAAGCGCGAAAACCTGCCTCCGCCTACTCCAGAGACGGAGTCGGTGGCTGGTTCTGAGATCACTTCTTTACAGATTTGAGATGTATTTAAATGCATCAGAGGGAAGAATAAGTCGTCGTGGTCTCCGAGAGGGATCCCAGAATAAGACCAATTCAATTACATTCTAATCGCTCATTACCATCATCCTTCGGCAGGAAAGATGTTCGTTAGCTACGGTATATATCATACTATTTATTTATTGATATGTTCCCCTCGTCGACATTGGAAGTTCATATGGCTCGAATTGATTTATTAACAAATGAGTTTGAAAACTTCACGATAACATTTATAACATTAAATTACTTAAACTATTTGGGTCGTGCTCGTGAAATGTATCCTTAATTGTAGTTAGTACCGCGCCACGAAAGTGTAATTTTGAATTAATTCGGCTGCCTGGAGCTGAGCTGCATGTACCGTGAAACTACATAAGGTCGTTGATGTGCATGGCGTGACTAATAATAGTCAGAGGCTTTTTAAAAGATAAGCACTCCCCTTCTAGTACCAAAACTTTATAGAAAAAACAACTAAAAGGGGACATAGAAGGTTTTACAACAAATGACGAGAATATTCAAATGAGTACCTACTTAATTTAGTAGGCCATTCTAGGTAAATTGCCGCCACCATGGCGCCTCTTACCAGTGAGCCCGATGCTATTCGGGTCGCACTTAATCTCGCTCGACGCAATGTATTTTACAGCCTCGTCGTTGAGATTGCGGCGTACATGCGATCGCAGCTAGAACTTCCCCACAGTCCTAACGGATCACCATCTCTCTCGTCCTCGTCAGGGCGAGCTCCACCTCCATATTCAGAGACAACAGATGCGTCTCTATTCGCACCCCGCACTAGCAGTCGGGACTCCAATCCTGCGCCGCCACCACAACCACCACGGCCGCAAAGAACGCCCCCTAGTCCAGCACTTTTTAGACTACGGAAGGCGGCACTGCTGCACTTCGACTCATGGCGCGACGAGACTCTCGCTAAACTAAGGGAGCTTGTAGCTAAGCCTGACGATCAGAAAGTCGTTGATGCCCGTCGGAAGCGTTCTGAGCAGATAAACGCTAAGACCAGAGAGGAACCATCCGACGGCGAGGACCTGCTGAGCTTCAGCGACAATAGCAGGTCTACTCAGACGTCAATGGCACCGGCACTGCCGCCCCGGTCTACCGGACCGACCAGTCTAGCCGCCTTCCAGGCCTTGTACCACCCCATCCCCACCCGGCTCACCACGATCCCCATGGAGGATCGCAAGGAGGTTCTAAGCGCCATGCTAATCCTACTATTGTCTATCGGTAACTACTCGGCATATTCGCGTACGCTGATCTGCTACCTGACTTCTGCGCTCGAGATCCCACCCGCGTTCCTCAACGCCGAGGAGACGGAGATCGCGACGACTATGGTCGAGGCCGCGAAGAAGGCTGAGCAACAGGGTGGCATGTCGGCCGAGGCCGAGGCGCAGAAGCGCAGGGAGCAGGGCCAGGTGGGCCGATTTTGGAAAGTTGGGTTGGCGTCCGTCGCGGGCGCCGCTATTATTGGTGTGACGGGAGGTCTTGCTGCGCCCGCTGTGGCCGGTGTGATCGGTGGTCTCATGGGGTCCGTTGGGCTGGGCGGCCTGGCGAGTTTCCTGGGTATCTTCTGGATGAACGGTGCTTTAGTGGGTACGATCTTCGGGGCGTTCGGGGCAAAGATGACGGGCGGTATAGTCGACCAGTACGCCAAGGAGGTTGAGGATTTCAAGTTCCTGCCGCTACGGGAGGAGTGGGGTGAAGGGTGGTCGAATAAAGAAGACGGTTCGAAAGCTCGCAGGCTCCGCGTTACTATTGGTATTAACGGCTGGCTTACGTCCGAGGAGGACGTGACAAAGCCGTGGCGAGCCCTTGGTGACGAGACTGAAGTATTTGCCCTACGATATGAGATGAAGAGTTTGATGGCGCTCGGCGATAAACTCAGAAGCCTCGTTGGCTCTACTGCATGGAGTGCTGTAAGAGCTGAGATCCTTCAAAGGACAGTGCTTGCGACGCTAAAAGGCGCGCTATGGCCTATCTTTCTCCTGAGCTCGGCTTCCAATATCGATAACCCGTTCAGTCTTGCGCGAAACCGATCCGAGAAGGCCGGTAAGATTTTAGCAGACGCACTGATCAATAAGGTACAGGGAGAACGACCAGTAACCCTAGTGGGATACTCGTTGGGAGCACGGGTGATCTACGCTTGCTTGCGAGTACTCGCAGATCGAAAGGCCTTTGGACTCATAGACAACGTAGTCCTGATTGGAGCACCGGTCCCATCCAACACAGGACACTGGCAGATGATGCGGACAGTGGTCTCGGGCAAGCTGTTCAATGTGTACAGCGAGAACGACTACATCCTGGGTTTCCTGTACCGCGCGACAAGCATGCAGCTCGGCATCGCCGGACTACAATCCATCGGTGATGAGATTGAAGGGGTCGAGAACCTGGATCTGAGCAACGAGGTAACAGGCCACCTGCGATATCCGGAGCTCACGGCTAAGATCCTAACACGGTGTGGGTTTCCCGACGTCCGCGGCGGCGCGGGCGCTATCGAGAAGGACGAAGGGAAGATCGAGATTGAGCTTCGCGATAAGGATTGGGCTGAGACAGGAAATCTGATCGATATTGAGGACAAGCCGGA